TAAAGTTAATAAAAAATATCTTAAACTATATTTTTTATAATATAAGTAAGTTATAAAAATTAATATTTAAAATTTTTAAAACATTATTAAATTTTTAAATATGCAGACAAATTTGCTTACATTGCAATTTAAGGAATAAAAAATATTTTTATAAATAGTTTAATGATATGGGCCCTGATCTATCAAAAAGGTGGTTATCACATAATGACGATTATCAAGAAATTCGGATACAAAGATTTGGGGTGAGTTTTTGACAGCAATGACCCCACTCAGGGTAACCCCAAAATTAGCGTGAGACGAAGATAGTTTATGTAGCGATGGAGATCGGAAATTTAGAATTTCGTTTAGAACACTTGTTTTGTTTTTGCACGCTCGCGCTTTATTAAATAAATGCTATTTTTCTTTGCACAATAAACCAATTTACATTCCTTAAAGTATAAACTAAGTCTATGCCACTATATTAAAGTAAACGTCTTTAAGAAGGAGAGACGCACCACGAAGAGTGACACTTGTAATCTTGAGACGCGCCTAGGAAAAGACGGTCAAGAAGAGATTAGCAAGTGCGAAAGTCGGCCAAATTGTAAATGCCTCGGAGTTAAAGCCTTATCTTATTTAGTGCCGGAATCCAAGCGTTCGGATTATCATCGCGCGAAGAGTGAGCCGTTTTAGCGACAGACTCGCCGGTGACTGAGATAGGAACGCTTGTTACTCCCCCCGATTAATTATGCGAACGAAGATTGTTAGTTGCGAGAAAGATAAGAAAATAGGGGAGAAAGAGAAAATACTGCGTTAGTCAAGTGTAGTAAATTTGGAGATCGTCGAGAAAAACAAGACGTTACCTTCTTTAGGACGATCGTACAAGATCCGTAACAAGTCAGTGATAGTCGATTGATAATCAACAATGTATGATATCGAATACGACATAACGGATGATGAGAAAATTGAACCCCTTCCCTCTTCACGACGAAATATCCCAAAAGACCCGGTGAACGTACGTACGAACCGAGGACGGGATACAAAGGCTGAGCGTATTCCTCTCAATTTGAGGAAACGTTGATAGTGATCGAAGAGGGATCAGTCAAGGTCGACGAAACTGAGGAGAAAGAAGGGGCATCGAAAGGGCAATTTGGACCAATAAGGAAAGTGGATACAGAAGGACAAGACGTCGTGGTGATGGGAGAACCGCCGACGACGTACGAGAGCTAAGAAAAGATTAAAGGGAATGAAAGGACGTCTTACCGAGAGAACGCATGACGAACCCGATTCCAGTGCTGAATGGCACCCCGATGATCCAGACCCCGCGGAACAATTAGCACGACCAAGATAACCGTCGACACTGCTTGAGGAGAATCAGCCAGAGATCAAGAAAGTCGAAGAGATCAGAGTGGATGAAGGACGACCTGGAGAAACGAAGGGACAAGACGCGGCATCAATAAAAATACCGCCAGAGTTATGCAAGAAGGATAAATCAAAGTTTATGCGGAAAGAAAAAAAAAGAAATGTGTCGGTTATTACCTGGAGAGTGCACGCGCCCGGCGATGAGACATTCAGGCGGCGCACCATTCCAGTATCGTGGCAACGAGTTATAGAAGTGTTTATACGAGAGTCTAAAGGAAAGTTTGTGATAGCATATTCGGGCGTCTTCGCAAAACTAGTATTTCGCACGATGATGATTTATAAGACGGTTTGGAAAGAGAACTACTGATCGAGCGTGAAAACGCGATCAAGAGTACCATCTCGAAATCTGAGTGTGCAGTGGTGATGCGATGTTCCCTTAATCGCGGCAGTGATCTCTCGAATGATCAGGGAGCGCACGAAACCATACTAACTGCAACCAACGGAATAGTGATGTCGACAACCAAGATGAAAACACCCGCTCGCAGAGAATGATGTTGTTAGGATTAACAACCTACCTGCAATGTGCCAACCACAAATGATCACACTGGCACAAGACTGTGGAAACGTTGGTGTCGTGGAATCTAACACTGTTATGACAAAATTCGAGTTAGATGACATCACCGGGGTTAAAGATACTTTGCGGTAATAATTAAGATTGTGAAAACGAATATGAAAGTATAGCAAATGAATCAACATGTCGAAGTGTTTCGAGGTCTCTATGTATCACGTGACTTTAAGCAGAAATTCAGAGATAACCTGAATTGGAACCGCGAAGCCACCACAACTAGCATTGCACATAAGCTGGCATTGATGAGAGCCATGGATGACGGCATATACCACCAAGAATTCGATATTGGAGAACGAGATAAAAGTGAATGTTATTTAATAAGTAATAACCATGAAGATATAAGGGTGAATGAACAAATAACTTGCCATGGCCTTTGGAACCTTAACGTACCACGTGATAAAGAACGAGAAATCGGAGAATGCAAACCTGAATCAAGACCAGCGAGTATACAACAAGATGATCACACTGCTAATATAACCGGCGTAATTCAACCTTCTGATACTCCACCGTCACAAGTAACGGCAAAAAACTATAAGTTAGTAATCGGGACAGATGATCTAATATCTCAGCTGGTCGACAAGAGAAGTATTACGAATCGGAGATATTGGTTTGAGTTTATATGTGGAGCGTATAAAATAAGTGTGGGGGAATGTTATGGGAACAATAGGGATGGGAATGCCACATTGTAATGTGTTGCGTAACAATAGTGTTGTTGATAGTGGAATAATGTAATAATTAGTAATAACATGTAATAGGTACAAACGCGTCCACAAGGCATATAAATAGGAATAGGAAGTTCTAGATCGGAGATTTAGAGTTTCGTTTAGAACACTTGTTTTGTTTTTGTACACTCATGCTTTATTAAATAAATGCTATTTCGCTTTGCACAATAAACCAATTTACATTCCTTAAACATCTTTAACTTCACTTGGCTTTGGACAAGTTACTGTATATCTTTATATGGATCATCTACAAACCTTCGAACTTCATCATATAAATATTTCTGTCTCGTATAAGAGACTGGTTGAGTATTTAATATAGGAGCAGGCGCAAAAGGATCAAAATTATTGCTCAGTTTAAGTAACGTAAAAGTCTCATATTCACTATTGAACGACTTCTGACAAAAAACTTTGCCAGGCTCATTACTTCTAAATAGAAAATGTTGGTATTGCTTAAGATGTGGGATCTTACTGAAGTGTGGTGCAAAATATTGTGTGAAATCATAATAGGTCCAACCCTCTCCACCTTGATATTGTATTGCTTTGTTAATGCCGTTCTTAGTGGAGTGCATGACAACTTTCACCACATCATCAATTGTATTTATTCGAGTTTTATGGTATAAAGTCTTTAGAAGTCCAAAATAACGGTCACAGATAAATTTAGTATGACCCGGAATCATAAAGTTAATCTCAACTGAATCGTAAGTTCCATTTAAAGTCAGCCAACAATAATAGAAAAAAGATGTGTTGTTCTTATTTTGCCCACTACAATTATCACAAGTAATTTTCAGTCTTTTCTCCCCCCGATTCCTTTTCATTAGCGTGTTGTGTACCATACTCAATGTAGCATTCGCTCCTTTTGCTGCACCAACCGGAAATTCACCCTCATTAATGATGTAGTTAGTTTGTACAGGTGTAGGTAGGATTCCTGTATCTGTCACACCAAAGATACTGGCTGAACGTAAACTTTTGAAATATAGAGGACCAACTTGTTGAGGGGAATGTGGTATAGGTACACTTTGTGCCCAGTCATAGCAGTAGTGAGCCGTTGCTATATGAAAAGTGACTTATTAAACAGTGATATATGCACAACAATCAACAAATGATATTAATGAGAATAACATACCATCGATAGACTTTAATAATGGGTTCTGAATTAGTTGCTTAATAGAAAATTGTTCGGTATCCTGTTGAGCCTGTGTGATATTACATTGATAATAATTTCGCTCCAGCCTAGCCACTTGCAAATGATCGCTATATTCTTTGATAATATCCTCTTTTCTTTGAGAATCATTATTATGTGCAATTTTGTAACGAAGTTCTTCACAGACAGCACACAAGTCAGATTGCGGTCTCAGAAATGTTATATGAGGTGTTAAAGCCTTCCATAAGCGTACAAAAGAATTCCGAGATATTATTTTCAGTTCATTATCAAATGTAAGTCTCATTGATTGTTGAAAGTGCTCAAAAACAGTTGTGTAATTTTCATTAGTCGGTAGATAAATAAGTGCAGATGTAACTTTAGATAAGTGACGACCAGGAGATGGTAAACCATTTACAGAAGCATAATTGGTAATAAATGTTCTCACTTCTTTTGCAAGTTCATAATTGATTGTAACTTTTGTATTTCGTTGTGGAATGCGTTTAGTGTTTCCATGAACTCTTAAAATGATGCCTGTTTTTTTAAGATGTGATAAAATAACTAACAGTTTTTTTTCACTTACTCCAACAAGCTTTAGATAGGTATTCTTACATAAGGTGATACGATTATTAAAGCGATAACATAGAGAATATCGCCTTTTTTTTTCATTTGATTTACCATCTGCTTCATTGTCAAATGCTAATAATTGACCCATTAGAATATAATCTAATTGCTCATGACTCAGTCCTCGGAATTGCAAATGGCGTTCAAAGAATCTATGAAAGCCTACTATCTCAAAGCACTTCTTTTTAATATTCCTTTTTTTGTTTAAACAAGAGCACTTAGCAGTTGTAAAGAATGACTTTAGTGATAGATATGCTTTACAAACGAGTTCATTCTTCTCATATTCAATAAAAATTTCCTCATAATGTCCAGAAAGTTTAGAGAGAGTATTTTCTTTATTCTCAGTTTCGTTTACAAGTATTATATTTTCATCATTTTCACTATCGTCACTAGTATTATAATCATCCTCCGAATTATCTAATGGAAAGTCATAATCGGGTATAAAAAGTGTTTTATTGGTAGGTGATAACTTATTATTCATAATTAAAATAATGATGTCATAAATACCATTGGGAAGAGCGTAAGAATAGAAATATATAGCAATCATTTGTCGTTAATAATAATAATAGTAATAACATAATAATAGTGTAATAGTAATAATAACAAATGATTGGCACAAATATTTAGGGATTAACTTCAAAAATGGGGTCTGATCTGCATAAAAACAACCTTTATATTATTTAACTTCAAACTGTTATAAAAAATATTTTATTAATACACTCAAGATAAAAATTATCAAGATATGTAAAAAAGATTGCTAAGAATACATTAATGTAAAAAACTGTTTTGTGTAACCATAACGATAACCACCTTTTTGATAGATCAGGACCCATATGCTATATTAATTAATTGTATCAATTAATATTTATTATTTGTTTATATTTATTTTTATCTTTTATTATATACTGTATATATATGATTTTTAAAGGATTAATAAGATTATATATATTATATTTAATTATATATTATTAATTTATTTATTTATTTATTTTTTTGTATAGGTAAATCTCTTTTTTTTTATTTATTAGTATTATACTTTAAGGTTATATACACATGTAAAAGAAATAACATCTCTTGTATACAAAAATACAACAAGTTAAATACTAGCTTGCCTATATATCTATACCTAACTAATATCAAAAAAAAATTTAAAATAATATTATATACAGTATATAAATATAGTTGAATAGTGGCTATGTCTACTTACTTGGAATTTTTTGATTAAATGTAGAATGAATAGGAAATAAAAGAAAACTGAAAAGAAAAAAAAACTGGAGCTATTGGCTACTAAAACTAAAACTAAGTCACTTATACTATAAAATCTATGTAAACAAGAAGAATATCTAAAAAGTAGCCAATAGTTCAGCCCTTGTACCAATGCAGATCTTAAAAATGTAACTCTTGTTAATATGGATAGTAAAGTATAGTTGACATTGTTTGTTATTGTGATAATTATTATTATTATTGTTATATTAAAAAACTAGTTTAAACAAGTTCAATTTTTTCTTTGTTATTTTGATAAAATCTGATTGGATGATTGAAGAGTAACAATTATTTAGAGGGGTAAGCTGATTTCGGTTTTTTGAAAAAAAATTTTTGGAGATTTTGAAATGGTGCAATAAATAGTACTATGGTAAGGTTATATATAAAGGTTATATTAAAACAAACAATAGATCCAACAATATTATTTGAATGTATTTTTTAGAAGGTGTTTGATTTAGCAAGTATAATAATATTGATGTGGATGGTTTTTATGATATAATAAAAAGAAGGATGCAAGAGAACAAAAGAAAAGAGAACTATTATAGATCTTTCCTTATGCAACCGAAGGATAAGCAAGACTTCCAAACTTGAATAGACTTTAATCAGAAGTTCCATCCCACTGTATCAATTATCTTGAATATTCTTGAGTTTTTGAACTGGAGCTCACTTGTGATAAAGAGTATAAACTATTTTTTCTTGCTTAAAATTACTATAAAAAAATTTTTTTAACAAAATGAATATGATCAGAAGAGAGTTTTTTTTTTAAAAAAACAAATAACTTTAAACTTTATATATCATTAATTTATTTATTTATATAAAAAAGTTCACTTTTTTAAAAAATAATAAAATTACTTGATTTTTTTTATATCTAATAAAGTTTTTTTTTATTAATTCTAATATATAATGTCTTTATATATATATTATATTGAATCTATAAAATTATATAATAATTAATTAAAATTAAATAATATATATAAAAGTCTGATCTTTATATATATATAGTTATAAGTTAGGATTTATTAATAATAACAACAAAATCCTAGACTTTATAATATTTTAACAAAGATATCTAATATAATAAAGAAGATATAAAGGTAGAAAGAAATATAAATTTAATAAGTTTATATGATTTGAAATGATTTTATTGATCAAAGCAATACAATAAGTAGAGTGATTTTTAACTAGTAAATATTTTTTTATTAATTAATTTTTCTATTTTTTTTTCTGTTATATTTTCTTATATTATTTCTATACTTTTTATAGCAACAGAAAATAAAAGATATAAAAAATATAACAAAAATAAAAGAAATAATGAAAATAAAAGAAATAATAAAATTGAAGATTGATTATTTATTTTGGTAACCTTTATAATATATAATTATTGTTTCTCAATTTCTAAGCTATATTGTTAATTATTATTTTTCTATAATAATATATAAAACAAAAAAAATATTATAATTAATTTTTATTAATATTTTATTTGAATAGTATTTAATATTTTTTTAAAAAAAAAACTTTCTTTTGATTGCATCTGTTTTGCTAAAAATTTTCTTTTATAGTAATTTTGAGCAAGAAAAATATTTAATACTCTTTATCACAAGTGAACCCTATTTTAAGAACTCAAAAACCTTTAAAACAATTGGTACAGTAGGATATGACCTCTGATTGAAGTCTACTCAAGTTTGAAAGTCTTGCTTATTTTTTGATTATATGAGAAAAGGTACATGACAATTCTCTTTTCTTTTGTTCTTTTGTATCCCTTTCATTTTTACTATATCACAAAAACTATCTACATCAATATCATTATACTCACCAAATCAAACACTTTTTAAAAAATACATTCAAACAAAATTGTTAAGCCTACTGTTTGTTTTAATATAATTTATATATATATATTTGGGTTATTCCAATAGGTAAACATTATCTCTTTATTTGATTTGTATATAACAAGATATACATCATGAAAAAAACAACATCTCTTGGGTGCATTGCATACAACAAGTTAAATGCTAGCTTGCCTACTTATATCATATTTAACTAATATCATAAAAAATTTCAAAAGCAATATTAAAATATCAAATATGGGAATAGCGACTATACCTACCTACTCAAAAGGTTGTTTGATGAAATCTTTTATTTGAATAAAAAAAATTGAGAAGAAAAAATTAAAAGTAACTAAAACCAAAACTTCGTTAAGTAAACTATAAGATCTATAAGTAGAAAACCAATTATTTCCCCGAGAGAACTCCTGGACAGGCTCATTGTCCCATCTCTCTGGCTCTTTGATTACTATAAATAGTAGAGTACACATAATATTATTTGTTGTTGAAGTTGTTGTTGTGACACAAACTGGTTTGAACTGACACATGAAATCTGATTGGATAATTAGAGAATGTTGATCATCTGGGGGGAGTAAACTGATTTCAGTTTTTTGTTTGAAAAATTTTTGGACTTTTGAGGTGGCACAGCAAATATTACTACGAGAATATTGTGTGTATGGGTTGACTTAAAACAAACAGTAGATCTACTAACTCTGTTTGTAAATGTGTTTTGGAAAGTATTTGTTTTAGCAAGTATGATAGTAATGGTATAGATAATTTTTATGATATAATAAGGGTAAGGAGGGATACAAGAGAACTGAAGAAAAGAAAACTGCTACGGGTCTTTCCTTATGTAACCAAAGAATAAGCAAGACTCTTAAACTTGAATAGACTTTGACCAGAGGTCCCATTCTATTGCACCAGTTGTTTTGAAGATTCTTGAGTTCTTGAGCTGGGGCTCACTTGTGACAAAGAGTATAAACCATTTTTTCTTGCTTAAAATTACTATAAAAGGAAAATTTTTAATAAAATAGATGTGATCAGGAGAGAGTTTTAAGTAATATATAATTTTATATATAAACTTTTTTTTCAATAAATCAAAATCAGTTTACTATTTTCAGATAATTATCACTCTTTAATCATCCAATCAAATTTTATCAAAACAATAAAGAAAAAACTGAACCAGTTCAAATTGATTTTTAATATAATAACAATAACAATAACTATTACTACTATGATAATAAACAATATCAATTATACTCTACTATTTATATTAACAAAAACAATATTAACAAATAGCAAGGAATTAATAAAATGGATCATTGAGCCAAACCAGAGATTCCCTTGGAAATTTTACTTTTATTTATATAGATTTTATAGTTTAAGCAATTTAGTTATGGTTTCAGTAGTCTATATTATTGTAACTCCAGTTTATTTTTTTCTTTCAATTTTTTTTACTTTCAAATTCTTTTATATTCAATAAAAAAAGCTCTGAGTAAATAGGCATAGCCACTATTCAGTTATATTTAGTATATATAATATTGTTTTAAAATTTTTTTTTAATATTAACTAGATATAGATATGTAGGCAAGCTAGCATTTAACTTATTATATTTTTGTACACAAGAGATATTGTTTCTTTTACTATATACAGTATATAATTTTTCAATATAATACTATTAATAAAGAAATAACATTTACTTAATATTGTTATTAAAAATATCTTTATTAGAAAAATTATTAAAATAGTTTTATTATATATAATTATTGTTATTGTTATAAACAAATTTGAATTAATTTGTTTATTTATTTTAAATAGATATTAGTTATTTAATATTATTAATATAAATCCATATACTTAATAACAACTAATATTAATATAACCTATTCTGCTAATCAATTTACAAATCCAAAAAATATACATTCTCAAAAGATTTTATATCTTTCTGATAATAAAGTCTATATACTTTTCTTAACAACATTGGTTTCTTAACTAGCAGAGTGAGCAGCAGCTACTACTTGTTCTCCTTTTCTTTTTCAAACTCCTTCTTGCATATTTTTACAACTAAATATAAGAAACATATCCAAAAGGTCTACAGCAAGAACACCTTTTTAGAAAGAAAACTGACAAGAAAAAGTATACCCCAAAGACCCCCAGAAGGTTCAAAAGCTCAGAGAAATAAAGAAAAAGAAATCTTTAACCTTTATATTATTTTTCTGGCTTTCTACTTCTTTTTTCTCAAATGTGTTTTCTTTTTTCTGGTTTTTTTGAAGAATTTTGTCTACCTCAGTTTGACCCTGAATTTTTGGTTACACTAGACTTTCCTACAAGATAATTGGTCAAGATCACAGATTGGTTGATCAAGTCAGCTATAGAAAAAGTAAGCAAGACACATTCT